AGGGAGTGAAAAGAGGGAGGGGTTACGGGGGGAGAAACCAGCTGCCGCCACTGCCAGTTCCACCCATATACATGAAGTCACCTACTCCTCCCTTCCCGAGACTCTCAATATCATCTCCTTCACTCCCCTCTGCTGAAAAACTTACCCTCCCTTCTCATTCTCAGTTCTACACATACTGCCTTCCTATACCCCAGGAGGCAGCTAGGGCAGGCAGTGTTTACCGCTGAGGTAATTGGAGTAGTTTGGAGACAGCCTGACCCTAGCCCTGCTAAGGCCTAAGGTGTGTGTGTGTGTGTGTGTGTGTGTGTGTGTGTGTGTGTGTGTGTGTGTGTGTGTGCTCTCGTATACTCACATGTGTGCGTACGGCTGTTTGTGATGACTGGCAGAGAGGCCAGGGAAGGAAAGCAGGCCTTAGCCAGTGTCATCCCACTAGGGAGCAGACAAATTGGCTTTCACTACTCTGCCTGTCTTTTCTCGTTTCATATTCTTCAGCTATTCCTTTCTTCTTCCTACCTATCTTTCTATCTCTCCACCAACTCAAGGACAATCTTTCACGCTTTCTCTTGTACTTGCTCCGCAGCGCTTTTTCTCCTCCTGTTACCCTTTTGTTCCACTTCTCTTTCTGTATCTCTCACTGCTCATCATTTCATCTCTCTGAGCTGAGCTGCATAGACTGCGACTCTTGCCAGATATGAGCAAAAACTCCCCCTCAGTTGCAGTCATAGACACGAGGAAACTCATCCAACCTAATCCAGGCGCCTGTTGCATTTTTCTGTGGGTGAGAGGGGAAAGGAAAGGGCCTTCAATCGGGGTGTCAGGGCGAGAGTGAGTGTACACAATCATTCATGGGATGCACATGCAGTAAATGCCATTAAACACTATTGTCTAATAAAAACTAGCATTAGCTACAGTTTGTTTTCATATAAAAGGCTGACACGAGCTGTGATCAGAAGAGGCACGGGAGAGTGAAGCGTGACAGTAATTTAGCATGCATCTAGTGACCTCATCGCCGGGTTGTCAGGTAGGCATTGGGACATAGCTCACCTGCTTTAGCTCATCACACTGCCTGCTCCTCCTCCGCCACCTTCCCTCATCCCTCCGTCTTGCTTGTCCCTGATAGCTTTTACCGCTCTGCTGATTTCACAAATAGGCCTCATTGATTGAATCTGATTCTTGTGGATAGAGCAGCTTTATTGAGTGGCTTTTTCACTGATGGACAGGAGCGTGTGTGTGTCTGTGTGTGTGTGTGTGTGTGCGTGTGTTTGTTACACACATTCATGTGTGCATGTAAGAGATGATAAGAGAAAACTTCCTTTCCCCATCCCTCTCATTCTGTAATCCAGGAGCTATTCATCTCTAGGGAATTCCAGCAGCCAGATCATTACAGACACACACAAAGAAGCTCTCACACACACTTAGTGCAGCATCAGAATGAAGATTTTATTATTTATTGTGCATGCCGACTGAGGAGTCTGTTAATTGTGACGACACCTTGAGCAAGACAACATTTAAGTGTTAACTGCTCTCTCAGGTACCGTTCATCATTTATCTAATCTGTGCTTCTGCGGGGGGAAGCAACATGATTTCTGCAGTACCGTCTTTTGTTTCCTGCCCGTGTAAATGGCTGTCTTTAGCCATTTTGAGCCTGTCATTTTTCAGTTGTTGTTTTGCTCAAACTGTAGCACAAATACAACCAGCACTTCCCAAAACCTTCTACAGAGAAAAGTGGTGGCAATGCTGCAAGAGGGATTTTGTGTTTTGATGCAGAAAATGAGCTTGTTTCAGATGTAAAACAGAAATGATCTGTCTTGCGTTTGGGGGGTTTAGTGAGCAAACTGTTAGATGCTGGAGCTATATCGGCAGCCCTCCACTGAGGATGTACACATTTCACACACAGCAATGCACACCTCATCCTTGCAGCAGCAGCAGCAGCATCTGTGCTTTTCCCCTCTCGCTGCCCTCTATTTTGTCTCTCTCCTCTCAACAGGCAGTGTGCCACCTATGCAGAGTTGGATGGATGGTGGCACCCCCTTCCCCTTGCACCCATTTAACCCCCACAGCCCTGCAGATCCATCATTGCTCAACACACACAACACATGTAACACCCACATCCCTGAATGCATATGTCCTGATCTGCAGCTTCCTACTAAGTAACCCCTAATCGTTTTGTCATATACTTTAGAGTCTCACCCCTGAAATGTGCTAATTATTATGTCTTTTTCTTTTTTAAGTCTTAGTCTGTTGCAACCAAACTGATGCTGTGTTCTTTGCACTAAGCTTGCTGGGATGCTATGTGCTCATTAAGGGCTTGATCTTAATATAAGAGACAGTTCATTTAAATTACAGTTAGAGGTTTTTCTGCTTGTGTGTAAAATAAAACTTGAATGCAAGTGTGGTTTTAGCAGAATTGGTATTCTTTATCCAGCTCTCCACGTAGGGACACGGGCAAGATTGTGTGATTTATTATTGTCAGAATAAACATATTGAGCTTTGAAAGTATTACACATGCAGCCCCTCGTCATGATTTTCCTCTGCAGTAGTTATGTGATTCATTTTGTATCTTTTTCTCTTTACTTTTCATCCCTCAATTTGACTGCCCTGATTATACTCTGTTACGGATACAGACCCGGCAGCCGAGTAGTCATTCTTCTAATATTTTATTTCAAGTCTTCTTGAAGTCCTCCACCCGGGGCGCTTGCGTAGTTGGTGCATTACAATGTAAATTCTCTCCACGGTTCCGGAAAACAGGCAGGTATGTAGACATTTGCACGAACCCTCATGCTCTGGGTCTGATGATGAAATTTACATCACTTGTACCCGAGCATACTTGTGGACGTGGGAAGCTTACGTTTGCTTAAGCCAGCTCCAGAGAAAGGATTATGGACTTTTAGGGAGACCCAGACACGCACGTAGAGGGAAGCAGGAGAATAAATGGTTGTTTTGACTTATGAGAGTCATTAGCAAATAACGGCAGGCTTGTCCCACTTTCTGGACTGCGCAAGGTTGTAGACACTATGATTATATTGACTTTGTAACGTAAGTAACTAAAGGTGATCCCAGAAATGGAAGAAACAGAGATGATATTGGATTTAATGTTTATTGGCAGGGCTTGTTCATTCACGTGTTCGGTTGTTTACATAGAGATTGCAGCATCTAATTAGTACTGATTTTGTCTCTCTATTGAAGAGGGTTTATTGGTCCATGTTAGCGACTGACCTGGGCCGTGTTCAGTTAGTGTTGAAGCTGCATGTCAAGCGGCCCTTTGCTCACCTCCAAAGCTAATGGCGAGGGAGTAAAATAGTGCTTGGCTGCTATTTTAACACCTTGTCTTGACTTGTCTGTCATACAGCACCGTTCAAGCCTGTAGCTTGATTTTTTTTATTTATTTTAACCAATTTCTGAATGTGCCAGTTAGCATAAGTTGTCATTTGATTAGATGTAAAATATTTGATTCAGAGGTGAATATTAGAACGCCATTTTGAATGAAATTAATGATCATTTAGATGTTAATTATTGGTAATGTAAAGCTGTTTGGTTAATCAATCAATTTCTAATTACCTGGAAAATAAAAACATGTCTGTTGAATCACTAGTTATTGTTTGATCAGCCTTTGCAGCTTGGAATAATTCTGTGTCGTTTTCATGCTTTAAGACCTCCCTATTAAAAGAAAAGAGAGACAGATCACAGTGGAGGTAGCGAAGGAAAAGAAATTTCCTTGCTTCATTAATTGGCAGCTCTGTGGTACACTAAACATGCCGTGTGCACACGGACACACACACGCAGACACACTGTTGAATGCTGTGACTGCTCTGAAGCCACAGCTTTATATTTAGTCAAGGGAGACCAGCCTCTGTCACTTTTTCTCTTGCTTAACCTCGCTCTTTCTCTTCCTCTCTCGGTGGCTGTGTTGAAGAGGAGTCTCAGGGGAGGGCTTAACTCTGAGCCCTCGTTCTTTTTCCGTTTCTTTCTCTCTCTCCTTCCACGTCTTTTCTTCCCTTATCGTCCTGTGAATGGAGCTGCAGGCTGTTGTTGAACTGTGAATTAGTCCAGGAGACACACTCTGCACCTAGACAAAATAGAGAAACGGAGGAGGTTCAGTATCTGCCTTTCTGCTTTCATTCCTGCCACCCTGACAGGTTTGCCTTACTCTGTGCACACATGAGGCGTTTAAATGCTGGTGCAGAGTGTATGTGCCTACGAGATGAACTAGTGAGGGAACAAGTGTCACAATTTTACCTTGAACCAGCAAAAGGTATAAAATCAATAACTGACTTGAGGTTAACCTGAGGTCAGCAAGGCTTCACGTGCACCCTCGGTTTTGTGAATAAGCCACGTAAGACTGTGCCTATATTATGACGTACAACCTGGAAAATCACAGGGAGGGGTTTGTGTTGTCATGGTTATTGGATGTTCGGTAGCTTAAGGGGAAATTAAGTTTGGGTGGGGTGGGGCGAGGTGCAGAAAAGAAACTGGGAGGAATGGATGGGTGAGTGGGAGGAGGAAGGAGGGGTGCTATCTTAATTGCTTTCCGTGAATAATTTCAGTCCCCTAATTTGGCGATAATGACAGTGGCTGCTGCTTTTGTATTTATTTATCCAAACATTAATTGACAGGACTGACATTAGCCAGTGCGGTTATTGCGCATTTGATTGCGCACAAGGGAGCAAAGAAAATTACAGTAATTATCATTCTGATATGGATTATGAATATGCATTCCCACACTTAATGTCTCTGTCAGCATTTTAGTAACAACAAGGCACTCTGCCACGACAACAGCACTTTAGCTTATCTCATATCTGCTTCCCTAAACCCAGTCCAACCAGTGCTTCTGGAGAGCAGATGACACGTCGTGTCCAAATGATTTAACGGCAACAGCCAGACATGCGGTTAGGTGAAATGGTCTTCATGTGGATTGTTTTAGTTGTCCGATAGTTGTCGGCTCATGTTAATTAATGTAAGGTGTGTTAATGTGAGTATTAAAATGTTTTGTTTTTTAACAGGCGGAGGGAGAGGACAATTTGAAGAAGATGCAGCTGATGGAGCTAGCTATTCTCAATGGGACATACAGAGATAACAACATCAAAACACGTAAGTGAGCTGCAGTGAAAAGCAACCGCATCCCCAATTTCCATAATCCATCAGTTTTCTTCCATACATAATAAAAACCTTTAATATTTTAATGATATTTTTCCAATATTTCCCATTAACTCATACCTTTGGTTTTCATTAAATAATTGTGCAGTCAGCTCCACTGTGTGGATACATCATATTATCTCTGACTATGAGCAGACCTCTTTTTCAAAACTGTTTTCCAACCATAAGTAGGAATACCTCTCTTCCATTTTTCTCCATATTTCTTGTCCTCTCTGCCAGCCTTTCATCCACCCATCCTTTCCCCTGCAATCCACATGCATTCACCCTGTTTTACTCGCTCCTGGCAGACTTTAAATATTAAGCACATTGCTGTATTTCACCTGCTCAGTTCTGCATGTCAGTTGCTGATTCACGTGTGTTTTGTAATCACCAAATTATGTTTGAAAATGTAAATCATATACAGCCCCAATGTTTGACTTAATGGCAAGTTAATCTGAACTTGTGCATGTGATTATTTTCTTAATAATTAATCAAAATTTAATTAAAAATGTCTCTAAAAATTGGTTATTCTGTACACATTTTTTTTTTTAGATGAAAGTTTAAGCGATTAATTTCTTTGTTGAATTTTTCTCGTTTAACATCTGCCTAAATGGGAGCCATGATGAAGTAGCCCACCACCCAACTGCAGTTACAAAAGCACTTTATTTAATAGGCTTCCCTTTGGGGAAGCTTGTGTGGCACAGCTTATAGAACATGCTAATGCTTAGCCTCTATAAGAATTATATTTGTATGTCCATTTGTCATCCAACACAAACTGAGTGTTGACTTTGCAGAGGATGGGCATTTCTTTAAGTTTAAATGCTCCCACTCTGACCTTCACATCAAGTTCAAAATTCTCCTCATTTTGCTTATTTATTTATTTATGCCATAAAAACTGCCTCCTCCTCTATATGAAGTCAACAGCTCTGTTTCTGTTGGCATGCGTGTCGTTTAACTCACCCATATCATTTCCAGTAGGTGAATGTGTAGCTGCTGTGGTGATCGGTCTGCTTCAGATGCACTGGGATGATGGCGTTATTTCAGTATTTTTGTGCTTCTTGTGTTTTGGTGTGTGGGGTGATTTTATTTTTTTAAATTTTGTTTGGCAATGTTGGCAAAAGATTGTCGCTTTTGTGGTTCACCACCATGATCATTGCATGGACTAATTTTCCCTTTTGCTCCTCTCCCCTTTCTCTCTATCTCTCTCTGCCACTTCCTGTTCACCCTTCCTTTCCCCCTTTCGTATTTTCACACTTCACTTTTCATCTGTGATATTGTTCAACCACACTACACTTTATCTCTTGTCCTCTTTCTTTCTGTTCCTGTCCTTCACTCTCTTGCTTATGGCAGCCACCCTTGCGTTCTCTCTTGCAGCGGCGGCAGCAGCCGCTCAGGGCCCTCGCCTCATAGCGACCTCCACAGGTCAGGTGTTGCCTCCCCAGGCACTGCGGCCTCAGACGCCAGCCGGGGCCCCCATCATGAACCTCATCCGGCCCACTCAGATGGCTGCCATGCTGCCCAATGGCACCCCCACCCTGGTGCCTCCCACACCGGATGGCGGGCTTATCTACACCACCCCCTACGAGTACCCTTATGCCTTGGCACCCACCTCCCTGCTGGAGTACCCCATCGAGCATAGTGGGGTTCTAGGTAAGAGAGCCTGGGGAAGCATGGGTGCCGCAGGTACAGCGACCAGCTTTAGCCAGCCTGGACAAGAGGCCAGCTTGTTTTACCCCGGAGCTGGGGTGCTGGACGCGGCTTCCATGAGCCACAGTCAGGACTTGTTGAAAGGTAAATATGTCGTGTCCACCTGAGGATCAAAACAGACAAACTCACAGGGTGGATGTACTGATGAAGCTCTTGGTGATGGGATGACCAGCTATGTTGCTCATGGACACTTTGTTAAATGGCAATGGGGGGCAATAATTACCTTGTATGAGGGCCAGGCTAATGGGAAGTTCTCTATAGACTAAAGATATTCACTGTTTAGTTACGTTCTTGCCAAACAGTTGCGCTCTCAGGTTTATATTGCCTCTTGTCTGCAAGGTTTATTATAGGTGGACTTGCACTTGCCTCAGCGTGAAACGAGGCACACTGACAGTAACACACTCGCATACACGCAGGTCTGCTCCCTAACCCTTTCATGCACTGGCCTAGAGGTTTATTCAGTCTGGCGGCAGATCCCCTTGGATTTCTGCAGCTTTTGAAATTATTTCTCTGCGCTGTTGTCTGCAGGCAGGCCTCAATGCCTGCAGATAGTCCCTCTCTCACTCCCACTGGGGATGTTCATTAAATTCCCCCACTCACTCCCTTTTTTCCTTTCTCCATTGTCTTAGCTCTAGCCCCGTTGAACCGGAGCGCTGTGCTAACACCTGACGCTCCACTTACTTTTTGTGTCAGAAAAAAAGTCCAATATGGAGGGGGGTCTAATATATGTTGTGTTTATCCCCGACGGTGCTTTAAGCTCAGCTCATCTGCTACCAAAGAAGAAAGAACTAGGTTTAGGCCTGGTACCGTCCCCATATGTTATATTAAGGCTCTAGTTAACACAAAAGAAAAGCCGTTTCCCGCGTTAGGCAGGAGAAACCTTTGTTAGCCGCTTTCCAGATTTAATTTGACACTGCACTTCACTAATGTTCACAGATTCATTTGGCAGCAGCAGACACAAGTGTGGTTTTAGCTGACCTGTGTATTTGAGGTGCCTCTGGGAGTCATGTGTAGAACAGACAGGGGCAGCTGACTGGCTTTTCTCTCTTTAACTTGCAGGGTTACACCAGCTTAGTGCATTTTATTTACTCACACTATCGATTGGTGCTTTCAGCAACACAGGGCCCTGTGGAACACGCTCCCTCTCATACTCGCGCGCACACACACATACTCACAGACTTGGCTCAGTTTCCTGCGCTACTGTATCTAGCCACCAACGGCTTCTCTGAGAATAAAGAAATGTCAGGCCATCTGCTACTTCAGAGTAGTGTAGTTAGCTGTGTAGTCATGGGCCAAAAAAATCTGCTCTTGATAATGCCAGAAGAAAATCTTTTTTTATAACTTATTTCGCATGTCCTCGCTTCCTCTGGGAAATGTTTTTCTATTTCATTTTTTTGTTGTTGTTTTAAATCCATGCACACATCTGAAATTTGTAATACTTGAACATAGTGTGGCACACAAACAGTTTTTGTGATGCATACGAGGCGGTGTCAACCGCTGCAGTAGAAAGAAATCAGTTGTGACAAATATAGGAAGGAAATGACAGCCTGTGCCGCTAGTGAGCAGATTGACCTGGAGAGAAATGTTGAAAAGGGAAAGAGAAAATGAAGGAGAGAGGGAGAGGCAGGTGGTGTCTGGCACTATTCAATTACCATCAGAGCTGTATTGGATTTCCCCACCTTTCAAAATGAAGAGACAAATTTCTCTCTGTTCCCCTTTTGGATCCCACAGGAAGAATCACATTATTTTTCTAGACAGCCCTGGAGCCTGTACCCTTTACCTACCACCCCACCCACCCACATATATAACTCTGAGCACTGTGGAATTTTAGTACTTAAGTTATGCATTTTTAAATACCAAGTAAATCTCCAAAAAGTTGTATAATTTTTTTTCTACTGCATTTTTTCTACATGTAAAAGGAAAAAAAGAAGACGTGCTTGTGTGTATATGTACTATAATCTGTATTATGTTATTCTGTGTATTGTTGTGTAATCCGAGCATTATAATGGTTAAAATGTGAATGTTATCACTGTACAAATGACTGTTTTTGCCCTCCTCAAAGTGAACGGTTTCTAACCCTGTGGACCTGTTACAATCTAGGTGCAATGGCTACTAAAGTGAGACGGCATGACACGCGGGTCCATCCTTACCAAAGGATTGTGACCGCTGACAGAGGTCAGTTTAGTCTCTTAGCTACACTTTGATGTTGACTTATGCATTTCAGTGATTATTGTATTATGCCTCGATGCCTTAGTTGGGAATTTCTACATTGTCTGTATTGCATTTTGTTTTGTTTTCCTGTCCCCCTGCCACCTTTCCTACCCTGTATCGCCACACGCCAGCTAAATGGTTGATTGTGGTATGCACATTTTGTTTACATTTAGTACTTAACATATGCAGTATGTGCAGACTGTGTATATGTCAAAGCTCAGGCAAAAGTGATGTTGAAAGGTTTGGGTTTTTGCAGCTGTGAAGCCAGGACAGGTAGTACTTTGCAGGCAGTGTTGAAAGTGTATAATGACATTCCTCTGATGTGAGATTAGAGCCTAAAATGGGGCAGGCTTGTTCCCATACATGATTTATCTCCTCGACTCATAGGCAGCAGAGAAAAAGGAGACTCATTTCTATACTGTATCGTAAAGACATAGCAGGCATAAGGCAAGTGGCCGTGCTGCTACCAGGCCCCATTTCACCTTGAAATTTACATTTATTTTTGATTTTTTGATTTTTCTCTGGAAGATAGGCACGCACAGACATAAGCTGAGGTAGCTTGCATTCTCTCCAGTGTATTGCAAATATATTGAAATAAAGCTAAAGTACATTTTTAATATTTCAGTTGTACATGAGGTACTGTCATTTTATATTTGAGCATTTTATATCAAATGTATTTATGGTTTTGTGTATATTTATATTCTATAAAAATATACTGCTAAATAAAGAGAACGAATCGGAAAACAGCGATTCATCTATTCATTGCACATATAACACTAGTCTTAGTTATGCTTCACATAACTCTAGTTATTAAGTCTCCTTAAAACTAATCACACTGTTTGGAGCTTGCATTCCAACTCGAACGACACTAAAACACTAGATTTTTGTTACTTTGTTTGTCTGTTCGACCTCTCTTTGCTTCTATTTTTGGTTTTGGGGGCAATGTGCGCTTTATTTAAACCACCAAGCTACCTGATTCAGGGTGGGGCTTAGTAGTTTGGATCATGCCGTTGCGGCGCCATGATCGCAGTGAGATTAGCTGGGTTCACCTCATGTTGGCAGGGGACTAAGAGCAGGGGGCGACGTAAGAGATTGCATTCATTTTATTGTTAAAATGATGTCATTCCAGTCTCTTCTTGCTGACACTAATATCCTTTCTATCTTTTTTTTTTCTGTTTGTTTTGTTTTTGTTTCTAACCACCTAGCCGCCACCGGCAACTAACACATGACCTTCTGACCTCTGAACTCTTCACCCAATGACGAGCCGCCCCAAGCCTGCCTGCTGATCAGTTAACTGGTAATTGCCTTTTGCTAGCCTCTCGGACGCAAGTGTGTGAGAGAGAGAGAGAGAGAGGCGCCTGCCCGTACAGTTACCCTAACACATTCTGACAATAAAAAAAAAGAAAGAAAAAAAGTAGAAACCAACGCAGAATCTTCACAGAAACACAACGAAAACCCAACAAAGTTGTGTGATATTCATAAATATTTTTTTCCCTTTGTTCATTGAGTTCGATTCCCATTCTTTCTCTTTCTTTTTCTTCATGAATCACACACTGGGTGGACGTGTTTGTGGTATGACTCATAAATCTGCACTGAATTACATAGCAATAAAGACCCCCACCCCACACACCCCACCCCCCTTCCTCTAATTACTCTGATGTGGTGACCTCACTTGTATGAATCAAAGTTGAGTATTTATTTGACGCAAACCATTTGGTTTCAGAGTAATGGCCCTCAGATTGACAGCCCCTCCTCCCCTCCCTCAAAATATAGATATAAGAGCGTCTACCTGCTCCCACCCTGTCCCAAAACCCACCCACGGGGAGAGAAAAAGAAACAGAAGGAAAGAGAACATACACTCACATTAACTTGTTTAATTTCTGTCATTTTCACGTGTAGTTCAGTTGTTGAGCTCCAAGATGTACTTTTGAGCTGACACATTCTGGGTGTGCCCCTCTAAACAGCTTTCTGTCTTTGTTTTTATTTCATTTTTTAAAAAGCATGGCTGAAATGATTGCTAAAGGAGCTTTTTATGATTTATGTGTTTTGTTTTTCTCCTGTCTGTTTTTAATGCTTTTTTTTTTAGTCATTTTCTCCACTTGATTTTGTCCTTTTTTTTTTTTTTTCCCCCTGTTGTTCATATTTGACTAATTAGCTTTTGCTTAAACCTGACCAGCCAAAACCAAGGCGAGGTGGTTAGCTCTAAAGCAGTACGCCAACTGATGTTCAAAGCAGGCTGCAGAAGCTTAAGAAATGATGAAGGGCAAGATGGGAAGGTCACTACTTGGGCTGATGGTTCTTTGTGTGTTTTTGTGTGTGTTTTTAATTAATACTACAATGAAAGTAGGGTGTGTTGAGGCTTCGGGGGGAGGGAGAGGGAAATTGCCCCCCCATCCACACTACATCCACTATACAGTGCCTGATGTATTTTGACAAAAAAAATCTCAATGAGTTAGCTGAGCTGTGATCACAAAGACAAAAAAAAGTATTAAGTGTGCATATTTAGCCAAAGGGTTTGCCAGTGAATTATATATCTGCAGTTATGCATCTGTCTCACAGAGGGCTCTCTTTGTGATTTTTAAGAGTTTAAAAGGGTGTGAATTTTTAGTGCCTGCCTTCAGCTGTAACAGCCAGCCAGCCAGTCAGTTTAGATGATTTCTCACCCATTACTGCTCTGTTTTCTTTTAAGGTGAAGAGATGCTAATCAACACTAAATCAACATGTTACACAGTGACAGCAAAGGGGGGAGGGGGGCACTTTGAAGTTCTGTACATAAATGCTTTTGCCATGTTACCTGGATTCTATATTAAGTTGTTTCATCAGCCACGTTGCCAAACAGATGTTTTATTTTGCCATTTTTTCCATCTCCACGTTTGACTAATTCTTTTTAAATGTATTTTAAGTTTTAACCCCAGTTTGAAGACTTTACATGAGTTGAATCGTGCAGTTGGCATAATCTGAGCCTACTTGCATTTTTGTGTTTTGTTTTGTTTTTTTTACTGATGAAATTTCTTTTTTCTTTTTTCTTTTTTTAAACTCGAGGTAAAGGATCCAAAAGCGCATCCACAATGTGTCACACCTCCCTGTGATCATAGTCTAGCTTCTGAGCCCACAATCTTTTGTTTAACTCTCTCAAGAAAAAAATAGGATGTGAAAGCCATGCCTGCCTGTTCAAATTGCTTTATACATACGTCTTATATATATAAATATATATATAAATATATAAAAATGTAGATATGTCATTGCATATTCAAATACAGAAGAGAACAAAAAAAAAAAGATAATTTTACAGGGTGCTGGAGATGAGAAAAAATAAGATCTATTTTTGGCAATTTTAGCTTTTGATACTTTACTTGCAGTTACAAAATCAGAAAAAAATAAAGAAAAAAAGTTTAAAACCATATAGGGGAAATGGGGGGGGACCAAGTGGGGAAGGGGAGGGGGAGAAGTGCCGTTGACCTTGAATATGATTGGAAAAGGAAGACCAAAACAGTCACGACCCTTCGGAAAGTTAGCGAGCATCAGAGTGAGACGGACGCCTAGAGAGCTTAAAAAGATCAAATCAAAGTGCCTTATCGACAGTGGTTTCTGTTTTCTAGTATTCCAGTTGTGTTCAATAATATCCAGCACCCACCAAGATGGCGCAGAGAGGAATGGCTGGTGTTACACGCTCTGAAAGGTCGAGCAGGGTAGCCGCCACCGTATCGTGGCGTTACCGAAGTTATTCTATGCAAAAAGAATAGCAGTCGTTTTGACCAGCTACAAACATGTGCCATGGTTTTGTCTTCCTGAAATGATTTTTTTTCTCTTTTCCTTTTACCTGATGGCCCTTTACTCTGCTGTATGAGCAGATTGTGTTCTCTGTTTTTTTAATTATTATTATTGTTATTTCGATTCTAACGATCAAATGAGATATTGTCTTGATTTTTGGTGACTTTGACTAACTTCCTAGAACAAATTGAACTGCCAGTCGTGACCCAGTAGTCTGCCGGAACATGTTTTTTTTTGTTTTTTTTTTCCTTTTTTATAGTTTGTTTGTTTGTTTTTATTATGAGCTAAGAAAAATACATGATGTTCAAGGGAGTGGATGGAAGAGCGAACAGCAGGTGGGGAGGGTCGTCCCCACTACGCCTGTTTGTTTTTGTTTCAACAGCTGCAAACTGAAAGCATCCAGTCCACGTCTCTCAGCGTCAGCTTGACAACAAACTATCAATACAATCATGAGGTTTAAATTGGACAGCTGAAATGTTGGAATAATGAAACAAGCGAGGCCCGCTTCACCGCCAAACAGTTCTCAGCTGTTGAAATAACTGACAGTTTATTGCTGGAAGGTGAAATAATATTAAAATCGAGGAATTCTTAAATCCAATATAACACTTGGCGGTGTTGGTTTTTTTGTTGGTTTTTTTCCCCCCTCTATTCATAGCTCTTTCATCACGCTGTTACAGTGAAAGGTCAATGAAATATTCTTTTTCAGTGTTATTATTTTTATTAAATTGAAATGCAATATTAAAGTGGAGCAAGAGATGGTTATTCGGCATTTGACAGTATTAAGAAAATTCCCTCTGCAATGTTACAACTTGCTGTGTCATTGTGAAAGGCTGGATAAGACCATCAGGGGAAAGGTTGACTCTTATGCCTACCGTATTCTCTCTGGCCTGCCTACTACATGTATGATAATGTAATTAACAGCCATTGTTACAGGTTTATAATGTATTTTTCTAATCTCATTTTATATGTATATTAATCATGTTTCTGAGTGCTTTTTTTTCTTCTTCTTCTTCTTTTTTTTAAAATGAAACCCACTGCAACCCCCCTCGCCCTTAAACAACCCTCTCTCCTCCTTCTCCCCCGCCCCCTCCCCTCATCTCTTTTACATCTCGAAAACTGTCTCTTGTGGGGAGTGTTGCCTTTTTCCCTGTTACGTTTTGTTTTGTTTTCTTGCTGATTCCCAGCTTGTTTAACTCATTAGCTACTTTATTAGTTTATTTTTTTTCCTTGTCACGAGTATTTTTACATGCTTGCATTTAGTTTTCATGGTGTATGCTGTTATTTTTTTCTTATTAACCTCTTGGCATTTATTTTAATAAAACATTCTTAGTAAGAATTTTACTAACTTGCTGATATTTTGTCTTGTGTTTATAACCAGTTTCATGAATGTATTACCTCTGGTCTGGTTCACGGACTAACACGATTAAAACCAGTTGTCCTGCCACCACTTCCACTGACTGACAACGCACATTACATGAACGCGTGTGCTCTACATAAAACCACACTACACACACGCACAGATCTAACTGGAAACTGCACGAGTTGATAAATGTCCCTCACTGCCGCTCACGCGCTCTCACCTCTGTGCTGACAACAAAAAAAGAAACCAACAAAAAAAAGTCTCTTCATACTTGCACCCAACACTGCTGCTATGTCTTGTCGTCTCTCTCCGAAGCAACTTTTTGCTAGTTGTCCTGTCCGCCTGTGTCACTGACCCTCCGCCGCCCCCTCCGTGAGACGGCAGGAAGTGTCGCCCTGTCTGAAACAACAAGCCCCACGTTGCTCGAGGTCACGGGTTAACCTCTGGGTCGGCTGTTCTCTCTCCAACGAGGCGCGCACTGATTAAAAAAACAAATACATCTCCACACGCAAAGTCAAAACGTCCTAATCCCCAGAAGATAAAACTCCCATTTCCTCCCTACACACACACAGACACACACACACTAACCATTAGTTAGTGCAGGACTAATCGCAAGCTGTGCAAAAATACTCATATTAGTCATCTCAAAGGGATTAATTTTACTGTGAATGTGAAGAGCAGAACATCTCATCACTGCACATTATAGATGTAGTGAGTTATTTACAACAGACACTCGGGCGGGGGGGCAAATTTATAGATGGCAGTCGTGTGAACGTCTAAAGCTGTATTTTATTTTATTTTTTCCCCACTTTCCCTCTATTGCATCCCTGGCTTATTATGCCTGGATTGGAGCATTACTGTTATCACCAGCTGTTGCCTGTTTGGTGAACACTTCTCCCCATTCAGCTTATTGATATAACGGCTAATACTAGGCCATTTGGGAGCATCTATAACGCTTAGACACACACCAGTACACCACGCCAATATGAAGTGCTCTGGGATCAAAACAACCGTACTATTTCTTCCAGTGTAAGAATGCTGATATGGCTTTCAGCTTGTTAGTATTTATCACCTTTTTTCTGTCCAGGGTGGATTTTCCTCGTCTGAAACACTGCCAGTGTGTGTGTGGTTTCTTTTTTGTTTCGTGTTTTTTCATCCTCCTGCTGACATTAAACTCGTCCTGGGGTTCATTGAGCTTTCTTCTCCTTTTTCTTTATTCAGCTCTCTTCTTCCTCCACTCTTTACTCGAGGTATTGACACTGACACACAAGCAAAAGATTAACTTCATTAATCCCGATTATTACTTTAACCCGCTGAGTTGTTGCCTCCAGATCATTATTTTGGGGGGTTTTTTCCCTCCTTTTTTAATATCTGCAACAACCAAAACAACTTGGCCTCAACTTGTTGTAATTCTCTTCTTGTCTCAGCGAGCAGAGAGCAAGAATTAAAGTGTCTAACATCAGAACTAACATTTCTCGACTTGTAAAATTAACATTAACATGTTTTTATTTTACTTTAACCTTTAACACCTGCTTATACACCAGCAAATAAAGGCAGAGGTTACATTACGGGCAAGCCAAAAAATTGTGATTTTATTTTTTTCGCTGTGCATTTTTGATTGTTAGACATAAGCTTTTTATTTATTAATCTAGGATTGGCCTTTAATGTGGGTTGTTTTTGGTTTTTTTCGATGGGCTTGTCTGTGTCGTAATGAGCAATTTGAGCTAAACATCCGTCCACTAGCTGTCACAAGCCTTGCCTTTTTATATGTCGGAGAGGTTTTCAGTGGCTCCCGTCAACAAACGAGCTGATGAAAAAGACAGTGAGCCGGTGGGAGTTCTTGTCTGAAGCACAGTAAACTACAAACGCTGCCTAAAATACCGCGGCTGTGTTTAAAAAGTGCCTTGTCTTTCTTCGATTGGAAAATTATATATTTTTGTACTTTAT